TTCATTTACTCTGTAAATTAATAGTCCTTTTCATTGTTGACAATTTAATCAGAAAAATGATATTTCACTTTTTATTTTCTAGTAAGATTGAGCATCTTATGTTTCCAGAAATTTGTATAGCTCTTCCAGTGCATTACTGGGTCATTCCTCTGTCAATATTTTGTTTTCCTTTTTGTCAATGTGACTTGTTTATTTGTTGTTGATTATAGGACTATATTCTGGATATAACTCATTTGGGATTTGTGTGTGTGTGTGTATGTGTGTGTACTTTTAAATGTTTATCGTACAGAAACTTGATTTTATATAGGCAAATTTCACAATCCTTTCTTTTATGCTTCTTGCACTTTGTGCCTTAGATGACTTATCTCCCAGATATTATAAGCCTATATTCATCTATATATTTTCTTCTAACAATGTTTAATTTTGGTTTTTAAGCTTATCCATCCGGAACTTACCTTTAAATGTAAATGAAGAACAACCTCAGAGCCAGGCACTCATAGCCAGCCTGATGGAAGGCAGAGTTTCCCAGACTCTCCCCTGATGTACTGTGGGGCTGATGAGAAATAGGAGTTGGGATGGCACTTTGGCATTTAAACCACAAGGGCTTTGTCAGTGAAATGGCTGGCATCTGGGCAGTAAATTAACTGGCAAGGAGCAGTGGCTATGGAGAAGCCACCAGCTTGCCATATACAGTGTTATCTCTGTTTATGGGTTTGAGGCCCCACAAACTGGGTCATTCCCAGCTGCAAAGATTTGTCTTGTTTCATAAACAACTAATAACACAGAATCCCCTCTGAGAAAGGAAGCTAATGAAGTGATCCCTGTGATCACCAGCTCTCTTCTTGGGAGCATACCATAGGGCTGTGCATAGAACTTGCATATGGACAGAGCATAGTACCCCACTGAGCAGAGGGGGCAGTGATCGAGGTAGACCTGAGAAAGAAAGAGTGGAGGAGACCCAGCAGTCATTTATAAGTGCCCCTGAGTCTGTGATGAGTGCTGTGCACAGAGCCACACTATGAGGTTTATGAGATAGCTGAGATCAAAACATAGATGCTAGTTTTGCCCAAGGCAAGGAATGAACACCAAACCTAAGTGCAGGAACGGGAGTGTAAACAGCCTTTGAGATCTCACATGAACCCAGTTGTAAATACATATGTTCTGTATTTTTTTTTCACCAAACTTCAGTGCTCTTCCATATAGGGCAGCCTTACTGAGGAATGAGCTGCTTTTATCCTCTATTATCTATAAGTTTGTTAAATCCCCCCCATCCCCCAATAAAAACTTGATCTTGTTCCACAGCTGTCATAGTGAAAACCTTTAAGAAAAACCCTAGAGCCCCCAGAGGGAGGATGTTTAAGTCACCAAATGCCAAGATAAGTCCCAGCAGGACTGCATTTTCTGATCAGCCTCCGGCCTTCTTCCCAGAAGCTTTGCTTTGTTTTCTTTTTAATTTTTTCCAAACTTTTGCTTTTAGTGTACACAGAACAAGCCATTCTTAGAAGTCTAATGGAGGAATGTAGAGATCTTCAGAAAGATGCAGCAGTGGAGGGAATGAGGTCAAACTCAGAATCCAGCTGTGTCCTCGGTGGACTTTAGAACAGGTCCTATTTCAGCCTAATTTCTCTCCCTAGTGATGGATGTTTTCACTCATTGTTGGTGTTTCCAGGCAACAAAAAGCAATTAAAATGAATTTTCTAGAAGAAAATGCTGTGGGTTTGTTGGGTGTTGTTTTGTTTCTGTTCCACTGTGTTATTTAGGCATGCTGCCTCTTCATTCACCCTTCTAGAACTTTCTCTGCACTTCCAACCCCTCTAAGGGAATTTAGATAGTACTAAAGTTAGATTTTTGCTCTCCAATATGTGAGGTATTCTCAGATAACTTTTGCAGTTCTAAAGAGGACAGAATTGTATATCTTATAAATTTTTTTTTAAATACTAGTAACTTAACCAACTTTAAAGATGATTAGAATGTTACCTTTTTTATGCCTGAGAATTCCTTTGCCCAGAAATGTTCTCTCTCTCAGAAATGTTGTTAAAGTACTTATATCCTAAAGAAAATTAAATAATTTGCATTAACTATTATTTTTCATGGGAAAATAACAACCATTTTCTTTCTGTTGTTGCTCTGCTTCCCTCTCCCCACCCTAGTAAATTTTACAGTACATAATTCCAAAATATTAACATTCTTTTTTTTATAACAGCTTATTTTACATTTTTACATTTTTTTTTCCATCTCAATTGTAGTCCCCAGGGTAGTCACCTGTGTGCCATCACCATAATCCCGTGCACTTCCTTCCCCCCACCTCCCGTTTTTGATCCCATTCCCCACTCTACCCCCACAAAATGTCTCTGGTATATGGCTGTTCATTATTCTTGTTATTTTCTCGCCTGGTCCATTATACTCCTGCTATGAGTGAAACCATCCGGTATCCAAAATATTAACAGTCTTTTTAGTAGTCACAATTCATGCTGTTAAGAGGATCAGTTGTCTTTCTCCCTTAATGTCTCTATTTCATGCATCTTTCTCCCCCTCCCTCCCCACATTGAGGCATCCAAATATGCACCTTGATGAATTTTTACCAATATACCCATGTAATTTGCATCCAGCATGACTGGCATCCCAGAATCCTCTTCATGCCCCCTGCTGGCTACTGCCCTTCAGTCAAGGATAACAATGTTCCGTTCAGTTGCGTGCAGGCATAAGTAGGAGGCTTGAGGACATATCCCATAGAATACCTGTTGACCATTTTAGTTTGTGCTAAATTATTCTTCTGATGAACCCCTAAGTTCATCTAATAATTGGGGAAAGTAAGATGATATATTAACACCCCTTGAGTGAACCTTTTTGGTGCTGCTACCCTGGCTTTGTTCCAAGTGAAACGTGTTACCTGTGAGCTTTGAGGACTCTTGCCTGCAGCCCAGCAAGATTTACTTCCCTCTCCCCACTGCCAAGCTAGTCCTGGTCACCCCTAACCAAAATAAGGCTTTTCATTCCCATTGTAAGATAAATGAAATGATCATTTATCCCTTCTGTCATTAGATCCATGACCAACGCCTGTGGTCTTGCATGTGCACCTGTAATTGTGGGCACCTGGGCCCAGGGAGCAAGGGGCATGCGCATATGTAAATAGGGACACCTGGCCCAGGGGCCAGAGGCTAGAAGGCTGACCACACAGGGAGATACAGGCAGAGAAATTCTGGAAAAGCGGGTCTGTCCCCTGATTCAGCATTAAAGGCACCAGGAGCCCTTAGCATCCGCCTTACGGGTCTTTTAATAGTACATAGGGGAAACAGCCCACAGGAAGGCAGCAACCCGGCCCCTGCGACTCTGTGTGCTCTGTACCTGGGGCTCTCTGGTTCCCTCACGGGCTCTTCCGCTCGCAGCTGTCACTCTTGCAGCCCTGTTGTTGCTGAGTGACGCATCCCTTATCACCCCTCCTCTGGGCCCAGGTGTGCCCACTTACACATGCCCACACCAGACTCCAGGTGCCCACCATCAAGTTATGCAAGTGTTGGGCTAGAACTAATTAGAGCATTTTTTTTTTTTTGCTTCAGCTTTTCACCTGTAAAATGGGCACACAAGTTACTGTGTGTGGTTGTTCTGGGAATTCAGTGAGAAAACACTGATAGGCACCCTGTTGACACTCGAAAGTGTCACCCTTGCCACTCCTGCTGTTTTGTGAACTTCATATTCGAAAGACTTTCATTATGATCGTTGAGCCTTTGGCTTTCTGTTTAAAGTGTGGCCTTTGTACTTGGCAAGTTATCGCACATGTCAGAATCACCTCCAGACAGAACAACATTCCCGGGAAAAGGCGGTGCTCTTCCCTGCACTCAGATGCCGCCGAGCTCACCAGAAGCAGTGACCAACAGGCGGCTCCCAGAAGTCAAGTGTGACTCCCCTCTGCCAAGTCGCAGGCTGTGAAAGAGATGGATTTAGAGATGGGGTCTCAGATACTTCTGCATGGCCGAGGAAGGAAGTAAGGGGGTTCACTCTGGACAGGATCTGATTTCCCTGGGGCTGGCCTGGCCCTGCGCCTTCCCTCCCCTTCCCAAGGTCTGATGACCACAACATCTGGTTTAAATGCAGAGCAAACCGGATAGGTCATGGCCCAGCCTGTTTCTTTCTTCCATTTTATTAACATGTGAACCGCTCTCAGAAAATATAAAATCAGTGTTTCCTATCTCAAAAGCAGTTTCCGGGCCTCTTCCCGTAGCAGTTGGACCCAGAGATACTTTATCAATCCAAACAGCTTACCCGGGGCCCCAGCTGATGCACATTCAACCTGGAAACCAAGACGGGCATTCCCAGACTTCTCTGTAACACTGATGCTTAGCAACTCTAAACATGTGGTTGTGCTTGAATCATGAAAACCAGAATGAAAAGGCATTATTATGGTTGTGTGCTGCTTTCTCTGGGAAAATGTAATTGCAAAGAAGACTCGAGGACACAATGTATTCCAGAAAGCCAGTGCTTTGGGGAAAGTTCTGGGGTCCAGCAGGAACATCCTGGCTTCCAGCTAGAGGGAGTTTTGATCGGGCCTTAAGGTGGGAATTGGGCTTCTGGTATGTATGTCTGTTCAGGTGAACCTCGGGTGTCACATGCAACACCAACTCCTCCAGCCTGGTTTCTTTACATTGTTCAGGGCCATGCTCACCTCAGACTAATTCTGGGGAAATCTAGATAATAAGCTCAGACTAGGAGGCTAGTCGGGTGGGTTACTTTGAGAATAAGAAGTCTCACAGTCTTTAATATAACAGAGGTGGTCAGAAATGCCCTAGTATTTTAAACTTTAAAGCCATTTTTTCCATGCTATTTACTGTGAATGAATTTGGGTAACCCCAGGCTGTTCCCTGGTACCAAAATTAATTGTACTTCCCAACAAGCCTGTGTACTTTCTGTCTTGCCTTGCTGTAAACCCAGAGATAGATACCTGTCTTAATGCTCTTTTATGTTCTGTGACTTTGCACTTTGGTGATGCTTCTTTTCCCCCTCAGAACATTGATATCACCAATTTCAGCAGTAGCTGGAGTGATGGCCTGGCCTTCTGTGCACTCCTCCATACCTATCTGCCTGCCCACATCCCATACCAGGAGCTGAACAGTCAGGAAAAGGTAAGTCACACTCCCAGCCACCCTGCTTGCCTTCTAGAAAACACAAGGGATGTTCCCTGATTATACTGCTACATCCCAAAGGGTTGGGATTTTAGACTTGAAGTAAAAACCAGAGTATTGACACCAGTTATACAGGACCGCTGAGGTATCTACCCTTGGTAAATACCACTTGTAATCTAGAAAAATGTAACTGCTGAGAAGTTCTATTGCCCATTTTACAGAGAAAATTTTGATGGAATCTCACCTTCATAGTGTGAAGACATTGATCAGCATTCTTTTTCAAAGAACCAGCACCACCAAAAAGAGTTCCCTGCTCAGATAAGGACCTGTACATAACAGCGTATTGTTGGAGATTCATAGTGCTCTGAAGGTTCTTCATTTAAACACACACACACACACACACACACACACACACACACACACAAAATGTGACTCCAATTAACCCAGCATGTATCAAATGTAAAATTGACAAATGTTTCCTGCTAAGGACCAAATGGTAAACTTCCAGTTAGTGTCTGTCACTTTTTCTCAACTCTACCATTGAAGCATTAAAATATCCACAGACAATGTAAATCAATGGGCATGCTGTGTTCTATTAAACCATTTACAAAAACAGACTTCAAGCTAGATGTGGTCCTCAAGCTAGAGTTTGCCAAACTCTAACTTAGAGTTATGACCCTCCAAGGTCATAGTCCACAGAGTATACTTTGGAAAATGCTGTGCCAGGCACTATACTCATTCACTCAGCAATTATTTCTTGCCAGGCATCATACACTTATACACATACATCTTCCTCAAATGTGAAATGTTTGCCTGAAGTTATGCAAACACACTTACGCTCTTTGTCCTTGAATCAATATAGATCAGCTGGAAAATAATGAACCTAAAAGTGTTTGTGTTCACATTTTGCATTCACTCTTTGAATTGCTCCCAGATGACTCTTGTCTCACCCCGGATGCCCAGTGGTTCCCGCCATGCATGGCCAGTTGCCCAGTGACCGGCTGCAGATGTGAAAACACAGTGGAATCACCCGGCCCCATGATTCACTCACTCTCTATTGTCCTTATGATGCAGGGTTGAATTTCTTACTCAAATTAAAATACTGTCACCAGGGAGCACTTCAGTCAGACTATGAAAGCAGGGGTCTGGGGAGATGAGGGAAGATCTGTGTGGCTTCACCACCTCTCTGTCATCTAGAGCTGGATCTGTGCAGCCACTGCCTGGGTCCTCGGTGCCCCTCACAAGTGCCCTCTGGGTGGAGGGAGTGCCAGTTTTGACCAGTGTGTGATGGGCAAGCCCTAAGGAAACTCATGAGAGACTCATGACTGTGAACATTACTGGTGAGGGTTTACAAGATAACATGTCAGATCAACACATTAGAAAGCTGAGCATGTGTGAAACTACATGAGGGAAGCCACCTTACTGAAGGAGACAGGGGTCAAGGGAGGAAAGGCTGCCTAGAAGAGGTACGTTTAAGTTGGGCTTTAAAGGGCCAACTGATCTGAACAAAACACTCTCCTCCCCAGGGTGAGCAGAGCATTAAGTTCAACGTTGGCCTAGTAAATTATCCATGCTGGGTGATAATCTGTTTTTTTTGATGTACATATACATCAGAAAGGGTCCCATTAATGTTTTTAAAAACCTACTAAAAGAAAAATCTGAAAATTATATGGTCTAGCTGTTGATAACCCAAAAAGTTCAGAGGTCATGAGCTATTCCTACCTAGAAGGGAGTAATTTAACTACACAAGTTCAAGACATTGATGTAAAATAGGGAATTTTTGATGAAACTGACAAGAATGTCTTCTAAGACACTGGAGAGAAACACAATCAGAGGATGTGTGTTACAGTCAGTGAAGGGTTTGGCATCATTTGATAAAAAGCACATTCGTCAATCAATCCTGCAAAACTTCCACCCGAGCTAAACCTCCACCACTTAAGGTGATAGAATGGGATGTCTGTCAGTATCTAAAACAAAGTATTTGCGTGACAGGAGAAATTCTCGACTTGGTAGGTGTTCACACAAGCAGAAACTCTACCAGCCTGGCCAGCATCGGGTTCTCCCATGGGCTGGGGACTCGTGTGGTTCAGAAGCCAACATTTCTGCTTGCCCCCCAGCCTGGGCTGAGCAGTGTCAGCCTCTCACCCATCCTGGCTTTTGTGGGCATCCTTTCTGCTCCCCACAAGTGGTATCTTCCCCCAACCTGGCCTTCTCATGGTGGCTATGAATGTTCTAATGAAAGAGAATTAGAATTAATGGTGGTTGGTCATTTTTGCTGCCACTAAAATGAGTGAAGGTTATTTTTGTGACCCCATACCACCTCTCTATAATATCCTGTTTTATGCCATATGTTATTTTAGGTACTTTGAGGTTGTTTATCCAATATTTGGTAGGGACTAAACACCAGCAGTTTCATTTAGATTCACCCTGGAGTATTCAGGAGAAATCCTGTATAAAACCTTAGATTTAGAAATACTCATTCCATAGACCTTCATAGTAAGCAAAGAAGTTAAAACAGTGAGGTATTATTTTTTATATTGTTATTACTGGGATTGTAAATTGGAATTCAGAAAGCAATTTGGCATTCCATATCAAAAGCAGAAAAATATTTGTATCTTAGCTTCTGAAATAATGGTAGTCTCCAAGCTGGCTTACCCACCTCCTTCATCCCAATATTGGTGTCCTAGGACTAAATTCCAACATGCATGCTTGTGGTAGTTTCTCCACCCCTAAAAACAAGCCTCACAGACACCACTAGGGCACCAAAATGCAATAAATTCTGACACAGTCTACTGGGAAATAGATTCCACCAGTTAAGGGCTCAGTCTCCTGAGACCCCCAACCCCTCCCACATCAGATGCCAGTTGCAAGCCCAGGCTTGCTTTGTGACCAGTAGTTCCCACAGCCACCCTTGTAGGAACAGCTCACAAAGCCTAGGAAACCCATTTACTCCCTAGATCACTGATGTATTACAAAGAATGAAACTCAGGAATACCCAGATGAAGAGATGCGTAGGCAAGGTGTGAGGAAAGGGGGCCCTTTTTCTTAGATTATACTTTACTCATGTGCCTATGCTTTCCGTATAATTGGGGGTGTGGTAAAGGGAAAAATGAGAAACTGTGCAGGAACTTACAGCCCAAATATACAGCCTTCTGTGTTAAAACAGAAAGACAGTGGGCTACAGGGAGAATATTTTGAGTTATAAACAATTGTCAGAATGAGTGAGAAGCTGAAAGTAAGGAGACATATAGTGGAGACATATAGTTCTCACAATAAAGTCCCAAACGAGCAGAAGCTGCAGGAAACAGTCTTAAAGATCCAACTTTAGAACAGACTTTTGTGTGATTTTGAGCAATTGGTTGAACTACAAAGAAAAAAAGCCTTTGAAAAATATGTTTTGAGTGGGAGAGGGTGGTGACTATGGTGACAAAGAAGAGGTGTAGTCGTAGTACACTACATGCCAGTGTTGCTTATTGTCTTCTGCTCTCAGAATCGTCCTTTTAAGAATGCAGGTTTCAGTGTGGTTATAAAAAAGGAATGCATGGTATAAGTTTTGATAGTTTTGAAATAAAACTTTGACAAGGTAGAGGTAAGGTGAGAGGAACATCTTCCTCGTGAGAAAACGTAGAGGCAAAAAATGCTATTCAAGTGGATGGAGCAAGAAATGAAGGCTTAAGGATTTGTTACATATAACCAATGAAGGCGCTAACGTAAGCCATTGACTCTAATGAAGGGAGAGGAGAGATACGTGATACCATAAATACCCTTTTTTTGGAGAGCATGATGTCTCTGATTTAGAAATCAGTAGTGGTATAAGCATATTACAGAGATACAGAGGTAATGACCAGGAGAACTAAAGAGAGAAACTGCAAGTGGGACCAGCTTTTCATTGATCACCTATAACCATGTGTACATATTACACATTACCTTTATTTATGGAACCATGATTAAATAAGCATTTGGCATGCGATAGAATGAGTAGGTTATAAATCTTGACAGAGTAAAAAATTACCAAACACAAAATTTTTGATAGTCATGAATCTGTGGCATTAATGTCATTTTTAGTGACAACTGTAACCTGCTGATCTTTTTTTCCTTAAATTGAGTTCATTGTTTGCATATTTGACTTAAAATTTTAAGTGTTTTATTATAGTAGATAATCTATATGAGCATGTCGTCTTTCCTAGAAAAGCTAGATAATTTCTGCCAACAATTCCAGTCTTTTGTCTTTTTTAACCTAGAAAAGGAATCTTTTGTTGGCATTTGAAGCAGCTGAGAGCGTAGGCATCAAACCCAGCCTGGTAAGTACCCTATTTTATATCCTCGTGGTCTTTGTTCTGATTATAAGAGAAAGAACTTCATAACATCTACTAAACAATTTCCATTTGCTGAAGAAGTGTTAATGATTACCCCTAGTGTAAAATAATCTAGTTGGTGACCACATATGATTCATTTTTCAATGAAGATTTTGTGTGGATAAATTTCAGTTCTAGAAATATAGTGGATTCCCGCTAATGCCCTCAAGTCACCTAGAAATCTGAATAAAATGTAATTTTTTTCAATGTCAATGTGTATATATATATGTGTATATATATATATATATATCTATATATCTATATATATATATATATATATATATAGCTGAGCTCTGAAGAAAGATTGGGAAATACCCAGATGCCAGAAATGAAAAGAGAAGTGAAAACAGAGCCAAGAGGCATGAAACTGTGGCAACCCCCAGGGTGGGGATGGGGTGATGATGGGGTGATGACGGAGGGCCCATCATGATAAAAATGTAACTAACTGGGCATAGGCTTTTGTTAAGGCACACACAGGAACAAAAGACACCTGGCTCCCATAAACAGAGCATCAGTTCTGAGACCTCTCCACAAAGTTAAAGCCCAAAATGCTGTTCTTTGTAGTAAAAGGGAAATTTAAAAACTTCACCTACCTGCCCAATGTCCAAGGACATGATAAGGAAACTTAGTCTCTACTTCAGATTCTTTCATTGCCAAATAAGAGAAAAATATGTAAGAAATGAAACGCACAGTATGAGGTCTGGAATCCAAATTTGTAACACCTGTGCTGCAAAAACCCCGAATTTGCACTGCCTCTGGGGTAACTCATAGGCTGGTAGGACAGTGGCTGCTGAAAATAGGCTGGCTTACAATCCAGAATTTCAGAATGCTCAAGAAAATCATCTGCTTGAGCTTGTCAGCCAGATGTAGACGAAAGGATCATCTATCAGCACTTATTTAAAATAAGAAAGAAACTACAAAAGACTATTTAAAGATATTAAGAGAAAGGAAGAAATAGAAATCATAAGGGGCATGGAGCATAAAGTTCCTCAGATTTCAGAAAGTCCTCCTCTCCACTCACAGTATAATAAAAGTTTTAGCCCATGTTACAAGTGTGAGTAGCTCTTCACAGAAACAAAAGAGAGGACATGTGGCATCATTGCCATCACTGTAAAAGTATGTGTACTTCGAGGGTTGGTGGGTTTGTGTCCCAGTGAGGGAACACTCCCACACTGGGTTTTATAGACTGAGTTGAGTAAGCCGGTTTTTTCCCCAGAATAGTTACTACACACACACACACACACACACACACACACACACACCCCTCAGATGTCCTGTGAGGCATATACTTTCAGATGGGAAATTGAGGCACATGCAATTCAAAGGTTACATGACTTTAGAGGGTCAACAAGAGTCAAAGGCAGGCAGGCCAGTTGCAGCTTCCATACCCTTATCCACAGTGACCCTGTGTCTAGGTCAGCTATGCCCACCTCTAAATTCATAAAACACAATTAACACAATTTACTTGTATTACAGTAGGTAGCACATGTATTATATTGTAATTTATCTGATTATAGAGCTATTGCCATCCCCTGTCACCACTCCTAAAACTGTGAGCTTCTAAGGAATGGAAGTTTTACCTGTTTATTTTAGTTACTTTTATTGTGGTAAACTATACATCACATGATCTAAGTGTGTGTGCTTTGGCCAGCACCATGCTGTCTTGGTTAATATAGCTTTATAAATCATGAATGAGTCTTCCAGCTTTAGTCTTTGCAGAATTGTTTTGCCTGTCACAAAACTTTAGAACCAGTTTGTCACTATCTACCCAAAAAAAAAGTTTTCTGGGATTTTGATTGGGACCTATTGATTATTTTTGAGAATAATTGACGTTTTAACAATACTCAGTATTTCAGTTCATGAACATGAAATACCTCTCCATTTATTGAGAACTTCTTGATTTTTTTCACCAATGTTTCATAATTTTCTGCATATAGATCCTCTATAGATATCTTCGATGTATACTTAGGTGGTTGATTGTTCTCTTTATATATATTTTACTTTGTTTCCTGAAATCCTGCAAAGCTATGTTTCAAGAAGCTTTTTTATAGACTGAATTTTTCTACATAAGCAGTCATGCCATCAGACAGTCTTATTTCTTCCTTTTCAATCTATATGGCTTTTGTTCACCTTATTACACTAGCTAGAACTCTAGTTCAGAGCTGAATAGTATATGCAAGAGAGGATATCCTAGCTGTATCTGTTTTCCTGGTCTTAAGGGGGGAAATGTTCAGTATCTCCCCATTGAGTATGTCAGCTTTTTATTTTTAGTGTACCTCTGAGTGTGTATGTGTGTGCATAGTAAAGAAATTCCCTTCTAGTACTAGGTTGTTTTTTTTTTAGATTATTTTATCATAAATGGCTGTTGAATTTTGCATAATGCTTTTATTGTATCTGTTGATATGACCATATGGAACTTTTTAAATTTAGATTGCTAATAAGAGTTACATTGTCTGATTAATGGATGTTGAACCAGCCTTGCATTCCTGGGATGAATGGCATTTGATCATGATTCAGTTTGCTATTATTTATTAAAGTGGGTTTTTTTCTATGTTCATATGAGAAACTCGTCTGTGGTTTTCTTAAAACATCTCTGTCTGGTTTTGGTATTAGGATCATGCTGGCCTCATAGAATGAGTCAAAGTATATCCTCCTCTTTGCTTCCTGGAAGAAATCATGTAGACTTGGCATTATTTCCTCCTTAAGTATTGCTTTTTTATTTTTTTTTTTTTTGTTTTTTGTTTTTTTGTAGAATTAGCAGTGAACCATTTAGTCCTGTTGTTTTCTTTTTTGGAAGGTTTTTAGCTACTAATTAAAATAAATGTCATGTATTACCAGATTTTTATTAATGCACTGTACTCTCTCTTCTTCTAAATAATGCAAAATTATTTCACCAAACATGTTCAAATGTGATGTTGACAGTATAACAAAACATTTTTTCAATTTAATGGTTATCAGGTTAAGTCATGCAAAGTAATCTGTAAAACTGTGAATAGTAATTGAATTTTCAGATTCTCTCTGGGATTTAAGACATACCGCTCCATCATATGGAGGAAGGTTTGCCACCCCCTTGCATTTGTGGCATCCCTTTCTCTCTCACCACTCATCTTTCTCCTAAATAACAAGTTCAGTTCTTTTTTTTTTTTTTTAAAGATTTGTGTATTTGTGCATACAGAACTGGGGTACAGGCCAGAAGTGCAGGGGCAGTGAGAGGATTCACCAGAGACAGAGTGGGGAGCAGAACCAGACGACTAATCAAGTACACTTCTGAGGGGAGCAGCGGGCGGGTCAGGAGAGGTCTGCCGCGCCATGTGGGTCACCTCTGGGTCAGACAGGGATTGAACTCATGCGGAAGTGGCTTAAGCTTCTTAGTGCTGTGCTTTAACCCGCTGCACCACCAGGGAGGGCCACGAGTTCAATTCTTAATCACTTCTTTCCTATGTCACCATATTAACTGCCCTCCTATTGTAAGAATTTTAGCTTTTCATGCATTGTCTATATGCACAGTACTGGCTTTTTATTCTTGTATGAGAACTTTGTTTTTCTTTGTAAATCATGTTAGGTGTATCTGTGTGTAATGTTCCATTTGCTCCTTTTCCTGCCCATTCCCATGACCAATGATAAAATGCTAATAAATTTTTAGTATAACAAAAGAGAAATATAAGTGAAATATATTTAGATGTTGTAAGTGACTATCCTCAGCTAGTTCTGTCACCAGCCAGGAACAGATATATTTAAGCTCAGCTCTATTTTTCTGATACATCTCTGCTTCTGGCTTTACATCAAGATCCTTTCCTACTGCCACCAAAGACTCCACCAGAAACTCCAGCTTCAGCACCCCAAGTGAATTATCAAATATGTTGAGTGGCACTAATTTTGGGAAAGCTGGGTTGGTGCCTGGCACATGGTGGGTTCTGCCTACTGCTTGCTTGCTGCCTACTGAATTAGGGAAGAAGAAGCAAACAAATAAATAAAACCATTAAATAGTAACTTAGTTCTGGTAAAACAAATGGCTGCATTTTAAACTGGCCCAAGGCTCTGTGGTAATCCCATTCTTGGGAATTTATCTCTGGGCACTTTCAACAGAAGGAGACAGTGCTGCACCAAGATGCTCATTGCAAAGTCTGTGATGGTGAAGACATGAGCAGAAACCATACTCCTGTCCTGTCTATTATGGGACGACACTTCTCTTCAACAGTGTTCATCCACAAAAATGACGGCCAGCAGCACAGCAGCACAGGACACTGCTGCGTGACCATGTGAAGAAAGTCTCAGAAAACACTGTTGCTAGAGTGTCCACTGTGATGGTAGCTTGGGAGGGCATCAGTGTACATTCCAATGTGACACAAAAAGGGGAAATTGCTTTATAATAACAGAATCATGGGTCACTCTTGAAAAATGTTTAATGTTATATTGTTAAAAGAATAAAAGGGAGGAGCCTCCCTGGTGGCACAGTGGGTTAAAGTGAGGGACTGTGAAGCTATCCACAGCCACTGTAGCACAAGTTCCATCCCTCACCAGGGAGCTGACCCACAAGGCCCAGCAGACCTCTCCTGTCTTGCCTACTGCTCCCTTCAGCAGTGTATTTCAGTACATCTGCCTGTTCTGCTTCGTGCTCTGTCTCTGGTGAATCCTCTTACCCCCTCCCCCCACCACACACACACACACACACACACACACCTCTGGCCTGTACCCTAGTTCTCGTATGTATAAAATAAATAAATCTTAAAAAAAAAAAAAAAGACTAAAAGGGGCAGGAAGTCAGGTCCTATTTTTTTTTTTTAAGATTTTACTTATTTGTGCTTACAGAACTGGGGTACAGGCCAGATGCTCAGGGGTGGCGAGAGGCTTCACCAGAGACAGAGTGGGGAGCAGAACAGGCAGATCACGAAGTACACTGCTGAGAGGAGCAGTGGGCGGGTCAGGAGAGGTCTTCCGCGCCATGTGGTCACCTCCGGGGCAGGCGGGAATCGAACTCATGTGGAAGTGGCTTTAGCTTCTTAGTGCTGTGCTTTAACCCGTTGCACCACCAGGGAGGGCCAGTCAGGTCCTATTTTTTAAGGAGAGTGCCTGAATGAACAAAAGGGCTTTTTTGGAGACATAATTAACGTGCAACATTAGTTTTAAACATACAGCATTCTGATTTGCTGTGTGTGTGTGTGATGAAGTGATCACCACAATATTTATCCTCCATCACTACACAGTTACGTCTTTTTTCCTCTGATAAAAACTTATAAGATCTCTGAAAGCAGCAGTTCCCTTTAAGTAACCACTGTTAACACAGGCCTGGTATTGCTGTTCCTGTAGGTTTCTAGACAGCTGAGCGCTGACCTAGATCTGAGCCCTTCACAGGAAGGGGTCTGTGATGCTCCCCCAGTGATTGCCTCCCTTCTCCTGCAGGAGCTCAGTGAAATGCTGTACACAGACCGGCCTGACTGGCAGAGTGTGATGCAGTACGTGGCCCAGATCTACAAGTACTTTGAGACATAAACCAGAGGGCCCAGAGGAGCCACCACCGCTGAGATTTGACCTGGATGCACCCAGTCACTTTCCAGGAGCCTTGTTGGACCTCCACCTACTTCCTGCATTTCAAAGGAAGACTCAACCCAGGGGACCAATGGACAAATTAAAGACAAAGCAGGCTCCACTCTGCCCCTACCTTAAACCCAGCCCCTTTAGAGTAAGTTGGGGAAGCTGTGCTGCCCCATAGGGCCTTCCTCCTTCCAGAGCCAGGAGCCCCTGCCAGGCCTGTACCACGAGGACCCTGGACAACCTCCCCTCACGTGACTGTGACTCCACATCTGAGCTACACTGAGATGCACGACATTTACAGATCAGTCACCTTTGTACTAAATATCCTGTCTTGCCTGTATAACAAGCCTGCCTTTGCCTCCCCACCCCATCCCCCACAAAAAGAAAAACAAAACAACACCCCACAGAACACAAGGAGACAAGCAGTTGCCCTCCCTCAGCCTGGAAACACACTGAGTCCTGCCTTTTAGGAAACAGGCTTACATTCTAGGTGACAATTTAACATCCAGAACTTGGCTGTAACTTTCACATCTCACTGTCATCTGATTCATTGGCTGGAATGTAAAATGTGAGAATGTGCAGGGCCCTGAGTATTGCTCCGACTTCTGAATTGGAACACAGAATTCCGCATTCTCAGGGGTTGCTTACATGCCGAGAGGGAAATTCAGGGTGCTTACACCCCCATCACAGCCACACCTTTGGTCATGTGCAGAGCTTGGCAGAAAGCCACACGTGTGTGCATGAAACGGCCAGGGCCTGCCAGACCTTCATGTATATGCACAATTAAGCAGGCTGGAAATAGGTATTATTTAGGATCAGGGCAGACAGCAATATTTCATCTCTAAACTTCAGCGGTTCCTTGGCTCTTTTATATTTGCATTTCAAAAGGAAACCCTGGGTGGGCAGAGATGGCACCTACCCATTTGACCTTTGGTGTTCTGAGTTGGTCAAAGAAGTGCACGTTGCACAGCAAATGAGGGTGCGGTTCTTGCAGATAAATTCAGTGCCCATCACTTTCAGGTGTAGTGGAGCTGTGTGTGCCCCTCTGCACAGGGCATCCTTACCTTAAGGAGCCTCCTCTGAGACCCTGTCTTTCCTCAGAGGAGCGCTGACCCCTGCGCGGAGCTTCTGTCAGAATCTGGACCCAGAGGCCATTCCCACCCTGTACGTGGTGCCCCCTGCAGGCCAACGCCCCTTTTGTGCAGGTGGCAGCTGGACTCTGGCTGCTCGTCTGTCCCTTCCTCACTTTCCTCGATGGCGCTAGATCCAGATCTCCTGGGGAATTTGCTGACTACACACGCTCCTGGCTGCCCCTTCAACTGAGTCAGACTCTCTGGATGGCACAAGTAAAGTAATGTATATATTTTCAGAATTCCCCCAAGAACCACTAAGAGGAGAAGGTGCCTTCCATTGCCCCCCAGGGCAGCACATTGAAATGCAGGGAGCTCCTCTGAGTTTGAGAGGTGTGACCTCATAACTGGACCACTGTTTCCAGGTGGATGCTGGAGGCACAGTCTAAACAAATTTAGTTTGCTCCTTCCTGATGAACTTACCCATCTGAAAGTCATTACTTGCATTGCTTCATGCATCTTCATGTGTCTTTTGTTGACGACTGATGTAGTTTCTTTAGCTCCATGCTTCTGCCTGCCCGTCCCAGTGGAGAAGAGCAGTATTCCAAGTTCTTAGGGGTTGTGTTTAACCGCTGTAGGTGGTTATGTTGAATCTGGACTTACTACAGGGCTTTGTGCAGGAGAGACAGCGATGTATTTGGTTACCTGGAGGAACTACTTAGCGTGCCCTGTGCCCTCTTTTAGTGATCAGTAGTCACAGTTCCGAATGAGTGAGAGACATAGCTGTCCTAGCGCTGTGGTGGCCTCGCCCTTCTCCTCTTCCCTCACTCCCACCTGGTGTCTGCTCCTTTTGGGTTAAAAAGAAGGAAAGTAATGTCATGTGACAGAAAGGCCATGTGCAGTTTCTTTTTATAACCCAAGGAAATTCTGTGCTTTGCCAGTGAGTGTGCCTGCAGAGGAGGAAGCTCTGTCCTGGGCCCGGAGCACAGGTGGTTTGGACAGGTCTGGCCCGAGGGAGACGGTGGGGGCAGCGCCAGGGCCTGGAGGGAAGCTGTCCAGGTCTGTTTTGAACTGGGACTTCAAGAAAACAAGGTAGCAGCAAGAGGGTCACTCCTAGTTTTCCATCCTGGGTCTTTCAGAGGCTACAAAATCCATCTTCTCGTCTTCCTTCAGGTAATACTTAGTCATTTAAAATTATTTTGTGGTTCTGCAGTTGTTATTTTAAATAGTTTTATGTGTAAAGGCATACAAAATGCAAGACCCAGAAGAGAGAAGGGATTAAGACAGAAAGAGAATTTCATGGTGAGTTGAGAGCATGGGGAGTTGATTCAGACTTGAACTTTAGTTGGCCAATGCCAGAGCCACAACCCCCTCCCCACCAGGTCAGCATTCTGGGGACCTGGCAAAGTCACGCTTCTCCTCCTGACCCCCTCTCACTTCAGAAAAGATGTTAGTTCCTTTGTTTTCATTCTTCATTCCATGGTTGAGAGCTTTTGTTGACACTGTTTGAAGTAGGTGCTATAGGTGTTAGAAATCACAGTCCGAGCGACTGGCCCACATGCAGCCGCAGTGTTCTCTTCCTGCCTGTCTCCCCCAGGACCCCCAGCACCCCTCAGAGGAAGGCAGGTGTTTGTCTGGCAAGGCACAAAAGAGACCCAGCTTTGTTAACTACAAACTCATGGCCAAATCCAGAAGTAGTTACTACCTTTTTCAGAGTTTGAGTGCCATTTTGAAATGAACTACCACTGACAAGCAGGAAAGGGTATAACCTAGCAATCTTTTTTTAAAGTATTTTTAATATCTCATTGCCCAAGTTCACTGGATGTTTCACTTCTCTAACCCGAGTTAGAGTTTGGCTAAATCTCTAACATCTTGAGTAGCTTACTGATTTAACTACATTAGTTGAATGCAGTTGATACATCTGTGTCCTCCTTTCTCTAAAGAGCACACCAGACTGTACCAAGCATTGTCAGGATATGACAAGCCAGCATAGATGTATTTAACTATTAACACACAAATGTACAATGTATGACTCTGTAATATTTCTAATAAATATATTTTGTTTCTTGTCTGATTACGAATTTTGCAGGGATAGTTGCCATTAATATTTCCTCAAAGAGTCAGGCTTACTTCCATCTGTTTTCAAACCATGATCAGCTCTCTGTTCCTAATTGGGCTGTGGTTTTGCTGACATTACTAGAAATTACCAGAAAGGACTGAATGTTATTAGTTCCTGCCATCTGCTTCCCTCTTGATGTGACTAGAGTCTCAGGTAAAAGTTCTCCTTCAGGGCCCAAACAGGGCTCCACAGAGCTACCAGATGTGCACACAAGGGTCTAACCACAGGCTGCCCCCACTCAGCGCATGTCCTGTGAGTGTACGTTGAGACCCCGAGCCATACTGCAGCTGGTGTTAGACAGGAGGAAACTGATAAGGGTGAAGAGGCAGAGTTAATGGACACGGACGGGGAGGCCAGCCCACCACGCCCGCTGGTTCATTGGAGTGGCTCTCCAGGCATTGCTCGGGCGCTACCGTTCACTGCCCACTGGGGAGGAGAAAGGAGGCTGCCCCATCCTAGAACCTCACTTCTTCTTCCTCCCCCAGAGAAGCGCCTCTGTTAACTGCCTTTTATCGAGAGGGACTCTTGTCTTAAAATGGCACAGCCTTTAATAAGTACTTAGCACAGCCAAGCCAGGACAGCGGTCATCACTCACCTTCCTCCGGCAGTCAAGTGAGAGGAGATACCAGGTTCAACACCTGGTTGCCCCAAGCCCAAGGAAACTGTGCGCACACACATGCACAGGGATTTGGTGTAAGGCCAGTGTCTCCGCACTTGAGAATCGATCTCTTCTATAGTTTGCAGTGGTTTGGGAACCACCAGGGAGGTCGCTGGTGGGCCTGGAGCCATCTGTGAATGAAGCTCATCTCTACAAACCCTGCCTGCTGACACAGTGCCTCCATATTGAATCAGAAGTGGCGCCAGAGGCTCTCCGGAGGCACAGACGGCCCATGGCAGGGTGTGGCTCGGCTGCGGGAGGGCTGGGCACACCGGGCCTCTGCCCCGTTGGCGCTCGGCCACTTCACCCTAAGTGCTTTGGTGTTTCTGCCTCTCCTGATTATCACTCCTTACTCAGCTCCCTGAAGGCAGAGTCATAGATTTATCTGTTCAGATGCCTCAACCTTATGCATAATTGTTGCCAGAAAAATGATTTTTCACTGATTGGTAGAGACATCCAGCTACCACAAACGCTCATTCCTGCTTGGAATTTCTCATGGAACTCTGGGGAACAGACACATCCAGCTTGATTTCAGTGCTTCAGTTGGTCTTGTGAACAGTCATTGCCAGCAGTTTCCAGCTTGATATGGAAAAAAAAAAATCCCAGAACTGCACTTGGGAAAGACCCCTGGGGAGAAACTTGAAATTTGTATCCTGGGCCCTCCCTGGTGTCACAGCGGGTTAAAGCACAGCACTGAAATTTGTATCCTGAAGATCTTCATCAAGTTTCCCTCTCTTCTCGAACATTACTTTGGTACTATGAGTAAAGTGACCCATTTCCTAGCAGAATCTCAGCCTTCCAAACTCTTTAAATGAATTCAATCTAACTTAACTTTCCTGTCCTATTAAAACCTCAGTGATATTTTTCTAAATTATAAAAAATAAGCCATAAAAAGATTTGGCCTGGATATCACCCCTCCTTGCTTGACCATCTGGTAGACTATTTATACCATCCTGTAAACCCTATCATTACCATCCTATCAAAAAATGAAGCAAAACAGAAAATGGAACATGGGAAAAGTTAACCACCACTTTATCGCCGCACATGACTTCTGAAGGATGGGCCACCTTTTGAGAATTCTTATTCTAGAGAACATCCTACAGACAATCAGAGCAGGACTAAAACAGAGTCTCAGACCTCCTCAGAGCTGGGAGCATCTCCCTGCACACTTGTCGTTGCTGTGAGCACACGGCACCTTGATGCTTGTGGAGCAATACTCAGTAGCAGAGAGGCATTCCAGATACATATGACTCCTCCAAGTTTGACGACCTATGGGAAAAACTAGTGTGACTGTTGTCACCTTCCACCCCAGTCAAGGAGCATGTGCTCCAGAGCAAGCATGTGGGTGATCATGGTATGTTCCCTAATTTCCTGTCAGTGGCTCCCAATGAAAATTTTGACACTATGATGTCAGTGTCAAATGCTGTATTTGTTTTTGGGGGGGTACAATGTGGCCCCCAACTGATGCATCATAATTGCTATGAGCACACTTGTAAGCTCATCTCCCAAGGAAACACTTGTCTGTGCCCACCTCTCTCCCCCAATCCCATGGCTGGGGTCAAGGGACCTCTAGTTCTTTTCCTAACCTGCCTTTCCTATAGTGTCATTAATCTGCTATGGCTGCTGTAACAAATGACCACATCACGGTGGCTACAAACAACATGGGTATATGAGCCTTCAGTTCTGGAGCTCAGAAGCCCAAGATGAGTCTCACTGGACTAAAATCAGCGTGTCAGTAGGGTGGTGTTACTTTCTGAAGGCTCTAGGGGAGCATTTCATTGCTTTTTTCATAAGCTTGAAGTCACCCACATCCCTTCACTCATGACCCTGTAGTCTGTCTTCAAAATCAAAGCCAGAAATCTTGGGTCTCTCTGATGTTCTAACGATCATTCCCTTTGGCTTTCTGATTTAAGGACCCAAGTAATTAGATTAGGCCATCCCCCCCCATCTCAAGGCCCATACTCTTTAATTCCACAGTTCCTCTCGCCACATTAGATCACATATTCACAGATGTCTTGGTTTGGACATTATTCTACCCCACACAGTCATCTTTTTTATGGCCTACCATTAACAGTTGGTGCAATCTATTTCCTAGTTAAAGCTACCAGTTAAAGATTCACAGTGGGCTGCCATTGGACCTCCTCACCAGCTTCTTGACACTATTTTCCATGCCAGATACTTTTGCAGGTCACTAGCCAGTCAGTGGTTAGCTGAGACCAAGTCTGGTCAGTGGAAGTGGGTGTCTATGGACCTGAGTACCCGGGCTACCCCTTTCAAGGAAGCGCCGGCCCTCTTGCAGTGATGACTGAGGAGCCAAGTGCTGGCATCTTCCCTGGGGTGGGAATCAAGCTGCCCCACACTTATGGGTGACAGAGCCTCATGCTTCAGGTGCTAGAAACCCAACAACAGTGAGGGGCTGAGGAAATCCTGCATTCAAGGAACTTAGGACACCATAAAATCAGGAATATACCAGGAGGAATTTACATGGAAGGAAACTACACCACAGAAAGTTGAAGTAGTTTGCCCACAAAACTGGATAAGCTTGGAGAAGACAAAGCAAGAATGGACCAAGCAGCGAGGCCAAAGCCTGTACTTGTAGCCATCGCTCGGTACTCTGCTCTCTGCCACCTGTCTCAGGAAGAGCTCACGTGGTAAGACAGTTTAACACACTGTGATTTTTTTTAACTGAAAAACAACTAAATCCTGCCAATAAAGATTAGAAATAAGTTCCTGCATCCAGACTTCAAATATATCTTAGCCAAAACTGCATTTACTTTTTCTAATGACAGATTGAACAAGAATCACAAGATTTATATTTGGAGCATCTATAGTTGAAGGCAAGTCAAAAACCTTCCCAGAACCTACCTCAAGCCCCTTGGGTTCCACCCCATTGGTCAAAGTGATATCATATCACCCTCAGCTGACCAATAACTGACAAAAGGGAAAGAATGCTTGCTCTTCTCTGAGTTGCCCTGAGGTATGGGATGGGCCAGTCTTCCCTGGCAAAGGTCATCCCACTCCTGAACAAAATTGGGGTTCTGGAATACTGAGGGGCATCAAATGGATAACCAATGGTATTTGCCACAAATTACCAAAATCACTGTACCTACTTTCCTCACCAAGAAGGGTCCTTGGTGAGGAAAGTGATGACTTTCCATTGCACTTCAGGCATCTTCAGATCCCCAAGGGACACATTCTTCAGTTCTATGGTGCATGCTGCCTGGAATAGGTAAGTGCAAGAAGTGGGAGCAACTGCCTTGTGTGACGGCCCCCTGTCCACCCCATCCCCTGCCATGCTGGGCACTGGCCTGTACAGGAATATCTCCCCTTCTCACATCTGTGTAGGTTATGGGTTCACTTTCAGGGAACACAGAGGGGCCAGGCTGCATGCTTCCCCCAGGCTGTACTGGACTGCAGTGTTGACGCCAGGCCCATCTGAGGTCCATTGACACCCTCACCCCCAAGCCTCTTGAGCTAAGCTTGCTGGCCAAGCCCTGCTAGACTCAGACATGGTAGAAGTGAATGGTACTCAATGCCAGCTGGGAAGTGGCTCTTCCCATCAAGGGACTCCTGAGCTGGGTGACATCTGGAGAGGCCTGCCCTGGGCTACAGCTCTGGGGGTTGGTGGAGTTGGGGGGGGTGGGGAGGGGGAGAGCCTGGTGGCAGCTTACCTTTGGCTCCAAACAAAATCCCCCAGCCCCCAACTCTCTAACTTATCCAACAGCACATAGTCAGCTATTACAGGAAAGCAGTTGGAAAATGCTAAAGCTTTCTTCTGGAAAGTGAATGTGAAGAAACATAAAAAGGCTCTAATTCTATAAGTGTAGATAATTAGCATAGTATTAGAACTAAGGAATTTGCTAAAATTGGCCTTCACTAGAGGCCGGTGCCCTTATTTGGGAATCACTTTGCTCGTTTCCACAGGAATTGGAAAGAAGGTGTCACTCGGTGTGGGTGGGCTCGCTGCCTTCCACATCCGCCTCTGAGCTCATGCACTGGATTCTTTCCAGGTCTTCATGACTGCTTGTCCTTGAGTCCAGGAAAAGAATAGAGAAGATCTGCCTGGTCAGATGTGGAGTGAGCGCTGCCCCCTGCAGTGACCCACCCCATAGGAGGCTCCAAAGGTCACAGCCTGTGATTAGTCCTAATCCAGCTCTGCCTCTGCCAGGCCCTCACCCCTCAAGGAGCTCCTCCTGGACTGCTCCTCCTCAGTCTCCTTTGTGGGCCACTTAACTTCTGCCCCTTTAGGCCCTTAAATTGTCTTGGATTAAGCCTTTCTTCAGTTG